TTGTTGTTGTTGTTGTTGTTGCATCCCAGCTCCTGCTGTCCGCGCCCTGCTAGGCCGGGCAACCTGAGGCTCATTTTCTTCTGCCTCTACCACCCTCCGAATTGAAGGACCCTCTCTTAACCCAGCCTGCTCCCTCGCCCTCCTGACAGATCCTAGCTGTGAGTCGGTCCATGTCTCTCCCATTTTGATAACTCATTTATGTGAAGCCCCTGACGACCGATCGAACATTCAAAGTGAGGTGTTTCCAAGCTCTTTCCCAGAGTGATCCAAAGTAGGTGCCCGCTCGGTGGTGTGTGTAGTATGTTCCCAGAAAACAATCACACAAACCAGAGACTTTGCTGTTTCCCGGTAGATGATGGTGACCTAAGAGGGCTGAATGGGCGAATGTAGGACGGGTTTCTCGTAACCGAATTTCTCTTGGCACCCCCAAAAGGTCGCACAACAAATAGCACCCTGACTCGGATATACCTGGGGGTGTTGCAAATGGGTCGAAGTAGAACTCTAAAGCGTAAGGTTGTGGAACCGATTTCTGAGGTGTAAGTATCCGTAATAAAACAAACGAGGGCTTGGTTCCCTGAAATTGCTGGGGAGGAAATCCACGGAATTGTTCCGTAGAGCGTGGGCTGAGCCGAACAAACAGCGCGATTTCGATGGCCTGGAGATTTGGAAGTTAGTGTTTGGGGAGGGTAGATGCCAGGAGAGCAAGTGCAAATGTGCAGAGGGTCTGGATATTGAGAAGAGTCAGTCAATGTCTGTACACCAAAGGGCTAGGACAATCAGAGACAAGCCCAATATGTCCGGGTTGTGGGAGCAACTGCTCCTGATATTGTTCGTTGTTTCTGCTAGGAAGACCCAGCTTCTGCAACAGGAAGCTGCTACGCAGCCCACAGCCAAGAAAAGGGGGTTTTGAACAACCGAGCATAGTGAAGAGGAGTGCGAAGACCACTTACAGTTTTTTTTGCTTGGGCGTCTTGGCAATGCCTCGAGAGCTTTCGAAGTGGTGGACTGGCCAATGCTCACCGATGGAGAAGACTGAATAATAATAGAGTCAAAGAAGAAGGTTCTTTGCCTGCCAAGATCACCCGAAAATTGCCAGGATAGTATTGCTCTCCCGGTCGACGGTGCGGGTGTGTGGCAAAGCAAAGCTTCCAGTTGAGTCGGCGAAGGGGATGAACGGGTGGATGTCGATGGTGGATGGGCGGGTGGATGACGAGAGATGGGTTGAACTGCTGGGGTTCTTCGCGTACGGCCGAGAGTCTGCAACAACGGGAGCCAAACGACCGGCAACGAGCCGGCTCGGAAGAGAAGGGAAGTGAAATAAGTGGACACCTTGGACCTGAGGTGAGTTGATGATGGGTATGGTAGAGTACGAGACCCAATGCTGTGTGTCCCCAGAAGACCGATGGTGTTTCAGCTTTGTGGGACGGAGACGGGGCCTCGCAGGGACTCGGTAAGGACGCCGTTACTTGGTGTAAAATAAGTAAAAAAAGGGGTGACGTCTGAAGTCGTCGTCGATCAGGCACAGCCTTGTAGGTAGGTAGCTAGGACAGCGTGATGGGGACGGCGAGCGGAAAGGAGAGCCGAAAAGAAGGGAAAGGTGAGTCCTCCGGAACAGTGAGTGATGAGGACCTCGGATTTTAGTAGGGCACACCCAAGTGCACCAAGTTTCCTCCCTAAGAATCCGGATTCTTGGAATGAGCAGCAGCAGGACACAAGGACAGATGCCACGAGCTGTTCTTGATGTCTGTTGAACGCAGCTGTCTTCTGTCCGGCTGTCAGGTGCGTGTTGGTGGAGGCGAAGGCCTTGCTTGTACAGCTTGCAGCCGAAGGAGAACGAAGGACAGGCAGCCAGGTCGTCAAGACCGTGCGTTAGAAAGCGAAAGAGGAAGATATCGGTATCAGCAGAAGGTCAAAAAGAGTGTAGCAGAAGCCAATTGGCTGAAGAAACAAGACCTGCGACGCAAGGCAAGGCAAGAAGCAGAAGCAGAAGCGAGTGACTTGTATGAAGTGAGGTGGTGTTGGCGATGTGGCTCGAGCACAAGACGTCCGAACTAGTAGCGGATTTCCTGCTGGGAACAGCTGCTCTCTGCAACACCACAGCAACCAGAACTGCAACTACCAGAGGAGGCAAGGCAACGAAAGTGATGGAGGGGGCGGAGCTGACGGAGCAAAGAGGGTAAAAGAGGGGAGAAACACCCGAGGTCGAGAACTAAAAGAGAGTCTTTTCCTGGAAGGCTGAAGCGCAACAAGTTCCCGAGTCCAGAGATTCTGGAATGGGGATGAGGAAATGAAGGGGACTACGGGGATCTGGATGCCCTCGGGTCCCCTGGCCTGGCAAAACACCACCCTCGTTGACCGGGATGTGATCAGTCGATACCACCCAGCCTTATATATTACCCTGCATGATATAGGTCGGACTTGCACCCATTTCTTGCCAGTCTCGCCAGTCCCTTCATCAAACACTCCCGACCATGACAAGGAGTTGTGTGTGAAACAGAGGCCCTGGAAAGGCTTTGGTAGGTATAAGAAGACAAGAGGCCCAAGAGACGCGCCCATCTCCATTCTTTGAGTGCCCCGGTTCCGCGTCATGGTCATCGGATCTGACCCATTCGATCTGATCTGCTAACCATTATGATCGCTCAGTGGATGGATACATACCTTACATACACACAAAAAGTATGATATGATGATGCCCACTCCCGCGAAGGATGTGATGTGCTTATCCATCCCGAGTCCGTCCAGAAGCGCTTGCGATCTGGGTAGTATCATTCTGAAGGAATTAACCAAGACATGATCGTCTCAAGGAAGATGAAAAGGCGCCAGCCACTTTTCCTTCTCCTGGTCTTCCATTTCCCCCAGGTCATGATTCCCACATGGGCTGAACATCTTCCGTCCACGCCTTTTGCTGTGCGACGCCAGCAAGCCCTCAACACGAGGACTGACTGCCAGCAAGTTTGATGGGCTGAGATGCGGCGTCGCGGTCGTGGGAAGTTTACGGGCGAAAAGAAAACGGGAAAGGCGGCCACACACACGAGGCCACGGGAAATGAAAAAGCCATGGCGAACACGTGCGGAAGTCGGCAGAGGCAGAGAGGTAGGCAGCTCTCCTGTCGCGTGTGTTTTGCATGGCGTCAGGCTTGCTCACGGATGAGAAGCCGATGAGGGGCGATGAACCCCCCAAGCCACATCTCAACGGTTGTGAGAGAGAGAGAGAGGTGAGGGGTTGGATTTGGAACTTGGTTATTTGGACGACATCGTTGGTCAACGACTCAAACCGTAGAAACCACTCGTTGTTGAAGATGAATGAGAAACCGAACTGGAAGTGGAATGAATTGGTCAAAGGAAAGAGAGAGTCGATCGAACCGACACCACCTCGACACGCGTGCACTGACGCAGGAACACCCCCCGCTAAGAGATTGCCCCACCCCTTGAGCTTTCCTCAATCCATCAGGTCATTGCAACCTCAGGCCAAATCGGAAACACTAGCGCCGCCATCATCCGCGGTGGAGCACAGACCCCACTGTCTCTACCTCATAGGGCAGTTTTCTGGCCAAAGCTTTTCTCTTTCCATCAACACGCGCTTCCACGACTTTCCCCAAGACTCAAACCAAATGTCCAACCAATTCCATTTCGCGTCCGCACCTTCGAGTGAAGTGAAGACCTCATCGGATCTGGCGGATCATCTGCGACATTGAGAAATTTATCGAGTGACCGATCACAAATTCTCCGTTCGCGAAGCCCACAAATGCTCGAATGTGGTTTGCGGTAACCCTTCAACATCAGTCTCTTCCGTCCTCGTCCACCGGTCGCTAATCGTCGTTCCCGTTCGGTCTTCGGTCTTCCATGGTAGATGACAGCCACTCAACCACAAAATGATCACCTCACTTACGAGCAGGTTGGTCCTGCATCACGGTTAATATACCGAAACTACGGTTCAGGCCAAGCAAGCAAACTCTTTCATCATCCCTTTGGAACAGTCACGAGGGACAAGAAGTTTTCCCCCCGAATCCCCAGCAGCATAATGTTTATGAAACTGAGCCAAGAGGTTTGACGGCAAGCAGTTTTGCTTGGGTAACTTTGCAAACAAACACATTACACACT